TGAAACCAGAGATTGCTCGAAACCAAACTTTTCTTCGCAAAGTTAATTTTGACAAATCCCTTTCGTTGCATTCAGTGAATTCACTTCCATTTCCGGTGAAAATGTGTGATGAAGAGATTGGTAGTTCACTCCTAGCAGATGACGACGACGTATGCTTTTGCCTGGCTCTGCCGAAACATTCTGGAGTCACTCTTCTATGACAACTGGAAAGTTCCACTTTTATGAGTATGCCCTGAGAAAATCTCTTCATCCCACACTTGCACTCGTTGTTGAAAGGAGATCATTTGCATTTCGATGCCTCAAATGACAACTAGTTCAATGCTATTGTCCAGAATGCTAAAAGGCTCGTATTGTTGTTGTCGATTTTGTTGCTTTGCCGACGTGAAAACGCGCCACGCTACCGGTACCATGACCACACATGGCCAAGTCTGTCTCGGTTCTAACTGTGGGCCCGGTTCTGCGGGGCCCAGTCAGGTGAGGCCAAACCGGCTCGGACAGCGTCAAACGGGCTCTTTTGAAAGGCGTTCTCTCCAAATCTCCCAACAAACGAGAGGGCGGTCCGACGCAAATGAGGCGATTGGACGAAGTTGGCACAGTCCGCCGATAGGACGCCCGGCCTGTAGGCAGCCACCGAGCCCACTCAGGCCGGATTCTGGGCCCACACGGTCGGAATAGACGTTAAGATGCCGGTATGGGACGGACACAATCATTCATTAGGCGGGCCTTCAATGCCCTTTTGACCCTTGTGCTGTCCAGACTCATGGCCACAGTTGCTATGCCAGTCTCCAGGTGTGCGTTGATAGACCTCACCAGCTTGTCACAATGATGCTATAATCACCCACACCACTAGTCACATCACACCTTCTGCCTGGCCCGTTTTCCTCTTCCCCAATTCGCGGCCTCATACTCGATTCCAGCACCAGCCGCCCAGCCCGTCACAACAATACCCCGTACTCTCGAGTCTATTATCTACCAGCCTCTAATACTGTTGTCACACTCTCGTCTGCATCCCTTATTTTATGCAGCATCACACTGCCTAACAATTTTTCAGTACTTTTACAAAACTCCATCGCTTATTGGTCTCGGATTACGTAAGCGAATTTAGCATCGCTACTACTACTACTACTGTTACTAATACTACTAATA